ATTTGATTTACGGCTCATGGTATTGTTTGATATTCAAATGTTGAATTTGCAGGTGGAACCCAAACGTCGAAAGAGAGGACCGTGATACATATTAACCATTGGAGTCGCGGCTCATGCCGGAATTGGCTGGCTATTTGATAGTTGTATTTGTTGCTGTGTGTTGTGCAGCTTCTTCTAGAGAAGCTATGAACATATATAATTATGTATAACCTAAGCTATCTCTTAGATCCCACGTTTATGATACTTTTCCCCTTTGTCTATGAAGAGTGAACTCTGGTCCAAGTGTTAATTCCTAAGATCACATCAAATTTTAGTTAAAAGCAATTGGTAGTTGTTTAAATTTTGCTTCCTGTTAGAAATTAGCTTTTGTTTGCCCAAGTTTCCTTTTTGATATTTTTGGTAGCAGAAAAATAGGAACTAAACCTTCAATAATGAATAATGTTCTGCACTGCCCTTAATGAGGTAACATTTCATCCTTATATTGTGTATAAATATCTTTAAATGTGACTTATGAAAAAAAGTGAGAAAATAGTATATGAAGTGATACTCTTTTTTGTAATTGATCTCATCTCATTGGAAATGTGTTTATACTTTTATTGTGTGTACATATCTTTGATAATCTAATAAATACAATAAAACATCCACTATATTTTCAAATATCACTATATCCTTTCTTAAGAAAGTACTCCCCAACCTCCAATTCATTATAACTCTATAACTATTCGTTTTATGTGATAATTAAAAATTAAAATAAGAACGGTTAGTTATGTGAATATTAGTATGCTTGCATATCGTTAGTCAAACAAAATATTGAAATAGCACATAACAATAATAAGATGGGTTTAACAATCAAAACATTAAATTTCCAACAAAGGTTTTAACAGAATAACAAGTAATATTTTATTTCCTCATAAATGAATCATAGTCAACCGAGACATTATTAGAGATATAATTTTAATTCATAATTCCTAAGTAAAAAAGGAAATTAAAATATGCCAAGGGAAAACTAGTAGTGTTGACTAGTATTGGTTGTGTTCTATTCTTTATCTCAAATATTGCATGCCCAAAACTAGGCTCTCTATATTCTGAGTACTCATGTTGTGGCATTGTGAAGCTGCAATGCACAAAAAACACAATTTAGTAATAATCAAATATAATGAAGAAAAATGGTGGACATTTGATTGGCCTCACATTGGCCAACTATCTCATTCAAAAAGCAAGCCACACATCAAATTGTTTCGGTCAAAAAACAAATCGCGCACCAAGCCAAACTCGGTCACATCGGTCAAATTCATTGGGTCACGCATTAAGCTTGGCTCACTCGACTCGGTCAGAAACTCATGGTCATGATTCAAGGCTGGCCAATATCCCTAGGCTTAATTGGTTGGGCCATGTAGATCAACATCATTTGGTCATGATAGGCACTTTGGCCATCTAACTCGATCAACTTGGCACGATGGCTTAATCACATCATTTTTAATGGGCTTTCTTTTATCTTTCACGAGTTGTATCATTGGTTATCTCTTAGTTTTAATTTTTCATTATCCTTAAGTGTAGTTTTAATTAGTTAATTAGTTATAATTTTTCATTATCATTAAGTGTAGTTTTAATTAGTTATAATTTTTCATTATCATTAAGTGCATCATTTAGATTACTTTTTTCATTATCATTAAGTGTAGTTTTAATTAGTTAATTAGATATAATTTTTTATTATCATTAAGTGTATCATTTAGATTACTTTTTTTTACTAGTTAATAATGAACAAATATGAATGGTGTATGATATAATACTATCAGTGCATACATTTTTTGTCTACTTTGAAAACCTATGTATTACATATTAATTTAGACACGCTTGCATGAGGCACATGACACATGCATGTGGTGGCTATGATCACCCTTTATGTGTCAAATATCAAATATATTCAATCATGAAAATTAAGCAAGAGAGGTTGGGAATGCCAAATTTATAAGTGCCGCAGGGTTTGACAATAAAATGAATATACAATAATCTCAACAATAAACTATCTCATTAACGCATGTAATACTTAATATACTTTAACTTTAAAGGACAGTTCTATATTGCGAACTGTTAGTTAGTTCGCATTGATACGAACTACATTTTGGCCGTTGGATGAAAAATTGGGTTGACTTGGTACCGGAATGACCTGCATAAAGTCGGTTTGGGGAGGTGGAACTTCAGAAATGAAGTCGGTTTGGAGTAAACCGACTTCTTCATGGAAGTCGTTTTTTGTTGGACCGCCTACTTCACAGAAGTCGGTGTTACGGTAGGTAACTTCTATTAAGTTCCCACCGACTTTGCTAAAATATTATAATTCATTATCACTACATTGCATAATCTAAGGGAATGACAAACAGATGTAATCTTCCTTCACTAAATCTAAGTCACCATAAAAGTTTTAGATGTTAACATTACCTCTTCACTATTTTCCTCATGTTGCTTTTTGGTTCTAAGCCTTACGATATGACTTTCCTCCATCGTCTACCGCATTCTCTCACCCATCATACTTAAAGATTCTTCCAGAATTTGTTTGTGTTTTTCCCATTTTTCAGCCTTGCTCATCCAATACTGAAGTTGTTCGTTGTCCTCGCCAATTTTACGAATTTCCTTTACTACCATCTTCTGGTATGATTTCATCTCATAAAATGATAATAATGTTTAACCTCCTCTTTAGTTAAGAAATGTTACTTAAATGCAATTTAGGGATGACAATGAAAACCGAACCCGCGGGTACCCGTCCGAACCCAACCCGAATATAATGGGAAAAACCCGATGTGAATGGGTTCGAGTTCGGGTTTTACCCGAGTTCAAATTTCGGGTTCGGGTTTGGTATTAACAATATCAAACCCGAACCCGCCTCGAACCCGATTAATATATATATAACTATAAAATTACATATAAATACATACATAAAAACTATATATATATATAAATTTCACATATATACACACACACATATATATATAAGCTATATATATATATATATAAAGTTCATGCACATATATATAAACTATATATATAAAAATATAAATTTTTCGGGTTTTTTTCGGAGTTTTTTTGGGTTCGGGGATGGTATCATTGTTTCCAACCCCGCTTAGTTTGGGTTCGAGTTTTAGATTTCGGGTACGGGTTTGGGTAAGCACAAACCTGACCCCGACCCGCCCCGTTGCCATTCCTAATGCAATTAGAATAATAAATGAAAATCATTTATGAAATTAGAAGTTGGTTTGGAAATAACCGACTTCCGTAGCATAATATTTGCCAGCCAACCTTGTTTTTTCATAAATGGTTTTCATTTATTATTCTAATTGCATTTAAGTAACATTTCTTAACTAAAGAGGAGGTTAAACATTATTATCATTCTATGAGATGAAATCATACTAGGAGATGGTAGTAAAGGAAATTTGTAAAATCGGCGAGGACAACGAACAACTTCAGTATTGGATGAGCAAGGCTGAGAAATGCAAAAAGCACAAACAAATTATGGAAGAGCCTTTAAGTATGATGGTTGAGAGAATGTGGCAGACGATGGAGGAAAGTCATATCGTAAGGCTTAGAACCAAAAAGCAACATGAGGAAAATAGTGAAGAGGTAATGTTAACATCTGAAACTTTTAGGGTGACTTAGATTTAGTGAAGGAAGATTGCATTTGTTTGCCATTCTCGTAGATTATGCAATGTAGTGATAATGAAGCATAATATTTTAGCAAAGTCGGTGGGAACTTAGCAGAAGTTACCTACCGTAAAACCGACTTCTATGAAGTAGGCGGTCCAGCAAAAACCGACTTCCATGAAGAAGTCGGTTTACTCCAAACCGACTACATTTCTGAAGTTCCACCTCTCCAAACCGACTTTATGCAGGTCATTCTGGTACCAAGTCAACCCAAATTTCCATCCAACGGCCAAAATATAGTTCGTATCAATGCGAACTAACTAACAGCTCGCAACATAGAACTATAATAAAAAGAAACTTGTTACATTAGAAACGAAGAGAAGACAAAGTACAAGATTCCTACACAAACCCACATGCTTTAGTTTGTTACCATTCTAGTTCTTGACTTATCCCACACGACACCAACCACATACAACGATAACTAGGAACTTCAATAGAAAATAACCAAAGGCCTAAGGGCAACACCATCAAAATAAGTCTCATCAAAACATTCATAAATTAAACAAAGAAATCAACATTTCTCCAATAATCAGAGCTTCAGATTGAGATCAACACCTTCATCTACATTACTATTTTGTAATGTATCTCTTGCTTGTTCAGTTTGTGCCACATTTGCAGGAGGGATGAAGATATACTCAGATGGGGAATGAATTTGGTTTTCCTTAATTCCCTATAGAAAATGATTGATGAATGAATATTGATTGAGATGATTGTTGTGTGATGTTGAAGATTATAATTTTTGGATGATTGTGTGGAAGGTTATACTTTTTGGATGTTTATGTATGGAAGGTAATGTCTAGAGAAGAAAATGATTGATGAATGGATTTTGGTTTAGGGAATTGTTGAAGATTTTTTGGAATAGATGATGGATGAATTTTTGGAGTTGTTTTCTAATATATTTTTGTGTATGGTGTTAGGAGGAAGAAGATGAATGTCTTGTTTGAATCGTAGGAGATGGAGTGATGTTGATAGGTTGAGATGAGTTTTTTAGAGGGAGGGAATTGAGTTGAAAATGAAAAGAATATCCTTCATTCTTTTGGAGATGAAACATGTTATTTATAGGTTAGATATTTCAGCACATGTTTAAATCCAATTCAATCTCCTAATTAATTGGAGGGAGAGAATAAAGGGAAACCTGATTTTTTATTTAGGTGAGTGAATCATTCTATTTATAGGCTAGGTATTTTAGCACATGTCTAAATCAAATATAATCTCCTAATTAATTCTTTAGAGGATATCAAGGAAGATATTGTTAGGGATATCAAGGAAGCTCATAATGATCAAATATATTGTTACTGTTCATAGGATAAGTAATAGTTAGGGATGACAGGATTTGAACCCGTGACATTTTGTACCAAAAACAAACGCGCTACCAAGCTGCGCTACATCCCTCTCAATTGGTTTCCAGTGTCATTGTAAAGAATATTTGTAAAGAATATTTGTCGTGTTTCCCATATTTAACTAATCGTGTAGGAGATTTTGGTTTATTATTAGGAATTTTGGGTCTTTATTGGATAACGGGTAGTTTGGAATTTCGGGATTTGTTTCAAATATTCAATAACTTGATTTATAATAATCAAATTAATATTTTTTTTGTTATTTTGTGGGTCCATTGCTAAATCTGCCCAATTCCCCCTATTCAACAAAAGACAGAAACAAATCCACTATCTGTTTTACGTCAAGCAATACGTGGAGTAACTCCCGATATAGCAGTAAAAGCAAGACGTGTAGGCGGAGGACAAATTGAATCCATTTCGATGAAATATTTGAATTGGTGGGGATATGTAGTATGTATTAATCAAATGAATTTCGTTATGATCAGTACTTAAATTTAAATCGGTTTTGAAAAAATAAATTACATTGATATTTATCAAATCCAATATCAATAAACCATTTTCTTAAGTATACTCTATTTACACGGTAAATCCAATTTTTTGTTCCTTAATGAGTCGCTATGCGGATAAATCTATGTACATATATTTGAATCTTATCTATATAAGAAGTATATGCAGTAACAAATTTATCAAGCGTAGCGATCACTGGACGATTGATTCCTATTCTTATTATACAATATTCTTGGATGAGATAGATGGTAGGAACAATAAATCGGATTCTTCATCTGTAGCTTGCAATCTGTATTCTTTCTTTTCTCGATCTACTGCTTGCTTTCGCTTATCCGACGCACTCACATCCAACTACTTAAACTGGGACGGGACCAATCATGTTGATTGTGACTCCCGAATACCTTACTGTTTTATTAATTTTTTATAACGTATTCCATTTTTCTTTGACAAATAAGACAATAATCGTTGCCGTTTTCCCAAAATTTTACGTAAACCTCTTTGAGATAAATAATCCTTTCGGTGCAATTCCAAATGTGAAGTAAGTCTTCGTATCTTATTGGTGAAATTGACTACTTGAAATTCAACTGATCTCGGGTTTTCTTCCTTCTTTTTTTCTTCTGAAATAATGGGTATAAAATAATTTTTTACCATAAACCAGTGCAGTGTCAGCTTCTAGAATGTACAAAAATTATGTGATACACTGAAACCTATCACTCTAACATCCACATATATAAACTCAGAATCTGCTGTTCAGTTAGGCCTTCTAATAGTAAATCTCCGTGAGCAACATTATCACAGAAACGGAAGCACAAAAGTATACAATAAAACATATGACTATGCTAGTTAGTCCTACATTTGGTTTAACACAACCAACTATAAGAACAATGAGAAACTTCCTTTAACAAAAAAACTCAAAATCTTATGACATTACATTAACAAAATCACCACCAATAGCATCAACTTATTTGTAAAAAGGAAAAAGATAAAAGGCAATCTTCTAAATGCTCTACTCAAATAGATAAGAGTAATAGATAAATATATAATATATGAGATATTACAATATAGCATAAATGTTGGTCGTAATATATAAATATATAATAGATATACCTGATCGACGCGCATACGGTCGAACATTTCGCGTATGATATTAACCGCATGGCCAAGAATGTTGGTCGTAATCAAATGTTGTGACCACCTATTATTATTAATCATGTAAGTTAATAAATATATTAGAATAAATATTGGTAATTAAATATTTAGATAATTTATTACTAAGATAAATATATACCTTCTGACCAATGGGTAAAACTCCTGTCCAACAGCCAATTTAGGAGAGATAAGAGGTAAAACTCCTTCCTGGTAGCCGATTTAGGGGAGAGAGGAAAAAAAAAACTCCTCCCATGTAGCCGAGTTAGGAGGGAGAAATAAAAAAAAGTAAAACTCCTCCCATGTAGCCGAGTTAGGAGGGAGAAATAAAAAAAAGTAAAACTCCTCCCTTGTGGCCGAGTTAAGAGGGAGAAATGAAAAAAAGAAAAGAAAACTCCAATGCAGTAGCCGAGTTTCCCAAATCTACACCAAAATGGTAATAAAAATTAAAGGTGCACCAAGACTGTAAATTTACAGTCAAGGTACACCAAACGTGTAAATTGACCTAATAATTGCACAATAGATTGTCATTGTCAGTAGTTACCTTGGGTAAATAGGATAGTCAAGAACCCAAAATGGAGCTTTTATTATTCTAATAAGTGTACTTTATAAAAAAAATTATAATTAAAAAATAAGCAAAAAAATGGAATATTTTTTATAACGTAACAATTATATTATTTAGATGCAATATAATAATATTTTTATCCTTAAATATAAAGATAAAATCAATAATTTATCTATCAATTGATGAATGTTAGATGTTTTTTTTTTCCAAACATACATATAAAACAAATAAATAAGTAAAAATAATATTAAGAATGATAGATTGGTTTATTTTTCCAGTTTATAATCTCATATATCACACTAACAAAATCATATCATAATCTGAAAAATGATCTATATACTAAACCTATGATGGTTAAACTTTGACTAAAAAGTATTAAGGTGAGGAGAATTATTCTCTACTTCTCTTCCCCTCATTGAAAAGGAATAATAAATTGTTAAGGAGAAAAATCACTAATAGATTATTAGTAATAGTATAAGAATTTTTTATATTTTGATTATATCTTTTACAATTCATCATTATAAGAAACATTTTTTTTATAAATATAAAACTCCGTTTAGTACAAGTTTTCATCCTATGCAAGTGCAATGCATGGGAAGTAGGAAGCGGTGGCAGGGTATATATATTTTATGGTTGTTGCATATTATGGTCTCTGTTGTAATAAATTATAATAATTTGTAGGGCATGTTCAATTACTTGGGATTGGGATTTCTATCTACTCCCTGCAGATGGGGCTACAAAAGAGTTATGAGAAAATAAGGTTTCTATGATTTACTTAGAGGTGTTAAAATGGACTACTCAAACGAGTTTGGGTAAGCCCACATCGGGTTTGGGCTAATCCGAGCCAGACTAAAAAGTCCGGATACAAATTATGCATAACTAATTGTAACCCAAGCCCGCACTAAGCGGGTTGCGGGTTGTGGCGGGCCGGCCCGTACAATACTAAACTAAAATTATTTAAATGTTAATCTATTTTAAAATATATATATATATATATATATGATATTAATGTATAACTTTAAAACACGCTTGATATGACAAATGCAATCAAACTTATAAATATAATTCATTGTGTTTGAGTTAAGACATTATGTCAAGTCGACGTATATAAATTTTAACACAACCTATTTATTAAATCTCTCATTTCTATTGAACTCTCATTATCTAACAAAATATAATATGTAACTTTATTTTTATATATAAATCTTTGGACACTATAAAAAATAACATCATCTTGGTTTACAGTCATAGTAATATATACTCAAGATTAATTTTGGACTCATTCACTCAACACATCATTTGATTCACCTGTACTCATTGTGTTTCAAAAAACTAGCATTTCAGGCACTAATATGTGAACATATTTTGCTTTTTAGATACTAAAACCTTTATTTGTTTATTTAGCAAGTTGGACATGTAGTCAACAAGCTGCAAAGCTTTAACCACTCTTTGCTGTTATAAGGGTAGGATAGGATTAATCAATGATAACGCCAAACAAAAATAGTACAACACCAAACAAAAAGAGCAGAGAGCTCGCCACAAATACATGATTCCTTACTCTTTGCCCTTCATCCCATACACTGCATGTTCCAACTAAAAAATAATGCAACGAAGAACATAGATATCTAACCACTTATGTGAGTATAAAGTAAACAGACCAGTCAAATTCGCATAATGAAGGCAAATAAATTAGTCTTTCAAGAAAATAACACTGTAATATGGTAGTATATGAGCTTAGCTTGCAGCATCTTCAAACCTAACGGTGAATGTTAAGCATGTGCTTGGCCTCACTCTGCTCCTCCAAGAGACCCTCACTGACATACTTATTCAACAGCTCCATCTTCTTCTTCTCCAGCACCATCCTCTCTATCTCCTTTTCATCCGGCAACGGCACGTGCACAACAAACTCCCTCTCCTTCTCCTCCATACCCTCCCTCATCTCCCTCTCCCTCCTCCTCTCTTCCTCCACCACATCCTCCTCCTCCTCATGGAGCAGCTCCCTTGCCGCAGCAGTAGACGCCACCGCAGCATCCTCCCCACTCTTCACACTCTTCCTAGCCTCCCTCCTCACCTCCTCCAACCTCCTCCACTCCTCAAATGCCTCGCTCCTCATCTTCTCCTCTGCGGGACCCTCGACTTTTTCAAGCACACCATCCTCCTCATCCCTGAAACCATAATAACTCGCATCAATCCGTTTATAAATATCATACCTCGTCCTCCGCTTGCGAAGCTCCGGAGGCTTATCGAATAGCTCACGAACGCCAGGGAGTTTCTTTGCAGCGCCGAAGTAACGATATCCAGGGCCGCGGCCGCTAGGGTTTGGGACATCAACAATGTTGCCATCAAGATCCGTCATCTTGGCGGAGAGTTTGGGGTAATTAGGGCCGCCGAGCTCGACGATACGGCGCTCCCAATGAGAGTTCTCACGGATGAGTTTGTTGATCTCGTCGTTGAGGTCGCGGAGACGGTGCTCGCCGAGGCCTTCGTTCTGAATCTCGGCGACCTTGCGACCAATCTCGCGCATGATCTGCTGACGCCACTTATCGGCTTCGGAGAGGTCACGGCATTCGGAGGCGAGGAAGGGACGGCGCTCCTTGGGTTTCTTCTTCTCCTCCGCCTTCATGGTGATGAAACGGTTGAGCATGGATTGCGCTTTCTCTTCATTACGCGCCATCTTCTCTTCGATTGATTATTCAGCTTCTGATACTTCTTTGTTCTCTTGTTCTCACTTTTCGCTCTCCAACCAAACCCTAGAGAGTATATAGCTGCTACTCTGTGTCGTGCTGATGGATAAATTTGTGAATTGTGAAGGGTACTGATAAATGTAGGCTAACTATT